TTGATTTCTCTTTCAGGAGTAAAACATTAATTTTCCATCCATTTCTTCTGTCTTACACAACTTCCCTATATCATATAATTATATAAATCCTGGCAACATTATTAGAGTTGATCAAGTTCTGAAGAAGCCGTTCAAAAACTTTCTGTCCAAGCCCTGGCCTATATAGCTCAGTTGGTTGGAGAGTCATCCCCTAGACCAGAAGTTGGTGTTTGATTCCCGGTCAGGGCACAAACCCAGCATTCAGGTTTGATCCCCAGTCGGGGCATGTGTGGGAGGCAACTGTAAAATGTTTCTCTCTTATATTGATGTTCCTCTCCCTCTCCCCCTCCTTCCATCTCCCTCCTTTCCTTTCTGTTAGTGTTAGGGTTTGGCCTGAGTCACCTCTCTTAGATCAACTTTTTAAAAGAAGCATCTGTCTTAAATGTGCACCTGTCATCTACATCTGGCAAATGGCACAGACTGACAACCCCCGTTGCCAGCCAACATACAGGGAGAATGGCATTGCATGGGTGGGATATGAATACTAATATCAGGAGACACACACACACACACACACACACACACGGCTACAAAAGATACAGCCCAACCAAGAAAAGGCTCTCACTGAGCCTTAAGCATACAAAGGATTTCATCTTTCTCATTCACTTCCATCCATTCCTGTTTTTAGATGTTCTGTAATTGTGTTAGGGGAAAGGGGGCAGAAAGGTGTGTGCACCAGACACATGCTCAAGAGATTAATAAACGGAGCCTAAGTTAGAAAGTACTAGTATATCCAGCAACTTCTCTAGCCTCCTAGGATGTAATGGGAGAGAGGGAGAGAGGGAGGGAGAGAGGGAGGGAGGATGTCTTTGTCTTCCACAAAAGGATTTTAAACTCAAGGTGACTCAGCACCTGTTATCAATAATAGCGTGACAGGTGGGCGATAGAAGCATTAAATGAATAGGTTTTGAAAATGGGAGTAATAAACACTATTGAATTAGCAAGCTGATTAGAAGCACAATGTCTTACAAATCATGCATAAGAGAGAGGCAGAGCTATGCTATGAACTCCCACCCAGTCACTCCTATGAAACCTACAATTGCCAAAGGGCACAAAAAGGCTTGCTGACCGGGGCAGGAATAACACATCACCAAGATCCAAATGGTTGGTTACAGAGTCAACGGTAACAGCCCAGGGAGACAACGCACACCCCCACAATACTTGACAAATGAAACTCCAGAAAAGCCTGCAACAGTTCTGGCATTTGGGGCGTTACAAGTACGTACACCCGAAATAAAAGCACTCTCTGTTGCAGCAGCTGTTCAGACAGAGCAGGGGGTAATGTTTACTTAATACTTCAGGTTGATGGGGAATGTATCCTAGTTCAGTCTGTCGGCTACATACGTGGAACTCCATTTATGTACACAGCGATAAGATATGTTTGAACAGCCTATTCAGTCGGTGTGAGTAATCAAGAATAAAGCTCCCTTTAAAAAAAAAAAAGTCTCAGATATTTGAGAAAGTTACAGAACAGACTGTCATGAATAAATAGCTTTGCTTATATTTGCAGACATTGTTTTCCAAATAGCTGG